TAACCAGAGAGTGGAAAGACACACAGGCACAGCTTTGATAGGCACAGCTGTGAAGAAGCCCCTGTGCTAGGTTTTCAGAAGGCCGTCATCAGTTCAGCACCACGAAACACCTACTTTGGGCTTAGGAGTGATTCTACACATAACTCACTGCTCTCCCTCCCCCCATTTCATAGAAATCAGCACAGAGCGCAGTTACACAGGAAAGTGATGACAGAATCCTGGCATGATAGCATGTGTCTACAATCCAGCACTCTGAGAGGCTGAGGCAGGAGGAACACAAGTTCAAGCCTAGCCTGGGAAACTTAGTGAGACTCTATTTTAAAGTTAAAAAATGAACAAAAAAGACTTGAGTATATAGCTTGGTGTGAAGGCCTTGGGTTCAACCCCCTCCCCAGTAGTAAGTGCAGTAATGAGGGAGAGGAATTCACAGCAGTCAGGAAACCAGAGTGAGAACAGAACTGTGTTAGATCATGAATCTTCTTAGCAGCCTCCAATGTCACTGCATGTTATGTGTTGAGTTCTGCATACAATTTTGAAGTTGAATGGAAACTATTATGTAGCAAAATCATATGTTCTAAATAGGCATTACCTAGATGATAGTCTTTGCTTAGTAAAAACTAGAGAGATCCAACAAGCTTCTTGATTTCCACCTTTGTTTGCAAATTCATCAACATATATTTGAGTCTTTCAGATCTACCGTGGGTATGACAAATACAACCATTCACTTCGTGCCTATTAAATCCTTGGTTTGAAAGGAATGCTTCTCATCTCTAAACAGTATCCAAATTTTTAAGAAAGTGAAACTAAACAAAACTGGATGTTGCAGTGAGGATGTCTTACTTATGACTGGGGAGCATATGATGGTGTTTCAGAGATCTCTCAAAAAAAAAAACTGAAAATGTTCTGGGGTAAAGTTCATATTTCCTTCTTACTCTCTAAGCTCAGCTAATTGGACAATGCATGTCTGCAGGACAGGAAGGCTTCTGAGTCTATCTTGACATAATTTAGCCCATAAGAAACTAACACATAGCCAGACATAGTGACACATACTCATAATCCCAACTATTTGGGGGGCTGATGCAGAATGCAGAATGCTCCATTTGAAGCAAAGCAAGGCAACTTATTGATTTTATTTTTTATTTTTTGGTACTGGGAATCGAACTCACAACCTCATGCTTGCCAGGCAGGCGCTGTGCTGCTGAGCTATACCCCTGGCCCTATGGCAACTTATTGAGACCCTCCACCAAAATAAAAAATGAGAAGGGATGTGGGTGTAACTCAGTTGTAGAGCACTTGTGGTGCAAGGTCCTAAATTCAATCCCCGCTACTGCTGAAAATGAAACAAAACAAGAGAAAAGAAACTATCATGTAAGCTCATTTTTTGTGATCTTTTTCTAGAAAATCTTTCAAACTGGTAAAAATTATTCTATTAGTAGGAGGCCACAGTTCACCCATACAATAAATACACTGGATTGGAAGAGCGTGTCATTAGTAGTAAGCTGTGAATGGGGGTTGGAATAAAAGTTTGAACTTATTTATGAGAAGTTTTCACTACTTTCTAATTCCTAAAGTTTCATTTAAGCTATAAGATTTAGTGAAAACCTTTTAATGACTAACAGAAACATACTCTTCATAGATAACCTTCAAGACCCAAAGGGAGGCCGTAGTATAAAGATGTGAGGGACATCTGCTGCTCAGAAGGAAGTGTGTGCTTAACTTTACAAGTCTCTGACAAAGAACACATTGAGGTACTGGGTGCTTTTTACTGAAAATCATAAAGTAAAAGGACATTAATGTGTCATTACCCTTTAAAATTACTTAATTTACACCCAGTCTTGATAAAGGAGCTACAAAACACAAGAAACCTGCTTTTAGAAATTACAACTTGGCAACCTAAACAGGCTTAATGTTTTCTTTCAGTGGCGTGAGAGAAAAAGGCATTCAACAAATTAACTTCAGCTGGGCCCTCCATTCTGCTGGCATTCCTTCACCCACACAGGCGAGCTCAGCCTCCGCTGAGTACCTCCTGTGCACCTTCTGGGCACACCACCCGTACAGACGTGGGGTGCAGATCAGAACCAGGGGCCCTGGCCTTGGGCAGTCTTAGGGTCCAAATTCCTTGTGTTCCTTGAGATTCCTCCAGGCATCAAGGGATTTTTCACTTCAAGCTTTGGTTCCCTGTAGGCAAAACAAGCCAGCACTGTTGTAACAAACGGAGAACATCTTTTATGAGTTCCCAGTTCGGCAAAGCAGGAGTCATGAGGCATCAGAGAGGTGCCTCAGGACAACACGTGTGCGGTTTGGCAGTGCTGCCTCAGAGCTGAGAAACTGGGTCAGCAATGTTTACTGGTGGTAGCAGCCATGATGATCATCACAGTTGTGTTCTTGCCGTGAGAATGAGAGGTCTTGCAGCTGTGTTTAATTCTCTATAACTAGCGTTTTAAAAACTCAGATTTGGTGGAGTTCTATTATTATTTCTTAACTCTGGACTCATGAGTGTCTACCTAATATCAGTCACAATACATTAAATTTCTAGAAAGATCTGATTGAATAAAATAAAACCAGCTTTTTTTTTTTTTTTTTTACCATGTTTGAATTGATGGTATGTTTACTAGAGTCCCCCTTAAGATGTAATCCCTAAAATTAATCCCATTTTATTTATTTATTTTGGTACCGGGAATCAAACTCAGGACCTTGCACTTGCCAGGCAGACACTGTGCCACTGAGCTATACCCCTCCCTTACCATTTTCTTCTGACTACTTGTGTGCGAAAGTCTAAGGTCCAATGTTTGAAGTTCCAGTATTGGTGAGTCAAGTGGGAAATACATGTGTTTAGAACGCAAGATTTCACAAAAAGCCAGCCCGTGGCTCACAGACTTCTGTCACCAGTGTGCTCAGGAAAAAATGGAGATAGATGGGGAAGCCTGGAAGAGCATGTGTCTTCCATTATTTCCCTTTCTCTGATTAAAAAAAAAAAAAAAAAAAAAGTAACGGAAGAGGTGCGAAAGGATAGTACAGGAACACAACCGGCCTCTAGGTGGTGCCTGAAAGCAATTTAGGGGCGGATGAGTCCTTTCTGGGTGGGAAGGATATGGAGGGCACCTCCTCTTGCACCTGCGCCCTCCAGAGTCAAGTCTTCAACAGACAGGCATCTGCTCTACAGTCTCTGCAGGCGGCTCAGGGGGCCCCTCTAATACATTCCCCCTTTCGCACATTCCTGTGCCTGTAAATGTGTATTCCATTTATAGTTCATGTCAGTAAATCATCACTGTTTAAACAGACAAGGAGAAACACACTTATGTAGAGAGCTTTTGCCAATCAGGTTCTTTCAAGAACTTAAAAATATCCGCCTGGTTCTCCCTCAGCCTCCCATTTTCTCAGCACTGGCCTGTCTAGACTGAGCAGGCTGGCCATGTAGGAAACAGAATTTTGTTTGCTTTACCAAAGAAACAATTTTGTTTGCTTTACCAAAGAAACAGTTTCCCAGGGGAATACCTTATCTTCGTAATTTTTTTTTTTTTTTGTACCGGGAATCAAACTCATGACCTCAGGATTGTGAGGCAAGCGCTTAAGCCACTGGCCTCATGGTAAAGTCTTTTAAAAATGATATTATACCCCCGGTCACATGGTAAAGACTTTTAAAAATGGTGTTATAGCTGCTGTATTTGATACCAAGTAAGAATATGTCATTCCTGTTGAAATTCTAGCCATTAATAAAAACAATGACACTCCATTTCCCTGTGTAAATGTAGGCAGGTGTGTGAATCCATACAAATCTCCTATCACATATACATGCTCACTGAAAAGAGAAGCTTTAGCATAAAAAAAAAGAATCTTTTTTTTTTGTACCAGGAATCAAACTCAGGACCTTATGCTTGCCAGGCCAAAAAAAAAAAAAATCTAGATCCACATTTTAACATATATTTTTTTATTAAATATGTAAAAAGATCAACGCAAGTCAAGTTATTCACATGTTCAGACAAAAAACTATTCTACCATGCGACAATAGGTGGGTAATGTAAAATGAATGTGATACATCTGAATAAGACTTTTTCATCTAGTATGTCATTACTTATCTATATTTATAATTAACAATACATATGTTTACATTCCTTTCAGTTTACATTTAATATATAACAAAAGCTTTATGGTGTACTATTTAGTAAAAGTAATCTGAATGCATATTAAACCATAACGGAATAATGGAAATACTCACCAGGGAAGGGAGGAATTCTTGATTCCCTTCTGCTGGAGTTTTACTTCTCTTGGGTCAACAGGGTGTTTGTCTTTTTTGTTTTTCCTGCTTTTCTGCTTAGAATGAACATGAGCTTTCTCTTTGCCCCCTGCTTCGATCACTTCCAATCTGACAGCGGCAATGGAAGTGCTATAACCAGCCAACAGTGGGCATGAAGTGATACTAAGAAATCATCTTCCTGAGATGGCAGAGCAGGGCACACCCAGGGGCACGTGTCCACCCAGCACGATGACAAGTGACTGGGGGTGGGGCATGGAGGAACACGTGTCCTGAACAGTAGATGAGAGCATGACGGGCCCCACCACCCAGGAAGCAAGTGGGTGGTCATACAGCGGCAGGGGTCGCAGCCAGAGAAGACTGACTCTGAATGAAACATGGCTGCTAAGATTCCCCAGAGCATCCACGACATTACCTAGGGTGCAGCGCAACAGATTTTTAAGATGGGAACAGAAAGAGGACTTCATAGTTCTTCTCTAATGGTCTGCCCCAAGCCACGGAAGGAGAATGGAACATGGCTCCGGGCAAGTGCTCTGCCGGTGGGGAGTTGGAGAGGAATGGAGTGGTTCCGGCAAGAGTCATCAGGAACAGATACGGAAATTACACGGTATCAAGTAGTTCTGGAGAAGATGGGATCCTGACTACCTGGTACCTGTTCATGATAGGAGTGTGATCATGAACCACCTGGCACTGGGTATTGCTGAGATGCCCAGGGCAGATGAAGAATATCCTAGGAACCACAGCAAAGTATCTGCAAGGAGTTGTTTATTGTGCCTCTTTACAAGAGCTATTTTTACAGCCAGTGAGTACAACAGGTTAAGGGGGCAATACACCGTTCAGCATGATGTTGTATATAGCACAACCACTACCTATCACCAGGTGTGGGAGGATGTCACTGCTGGGAGCCAGGCTTTCTAGCCTGAGAAATGAGCCGCTGCTATAGTGCAGAGTGAGCAGGAGAGAGGAGAAAGGGAAACCAAACACCACGGAACATCTGTCCAGTTCTGCACAATGTGTTGTAATAATCTCAAAAATACAAGCCATCTTTTCCATATATAACTCAATAAATACCACTTTGCTGCAAAAGATTTATTTTGGAAAGACTTCTTTTGGTGCAAAGCTTCAATGCTAGAATTTAGAATTATTCCATCAATTAATAAAGAAGTTTCAAAGTTTTATGATACATTATTCAGAAATTTATTTCAATTAAGGGGAGAGTGGGTTGGGGACATTTGTTTCTTATTTTTGTTGCACCTGCTAATAAAGGAAATTTAAAGTTAGAAACCAAGTGAAACGAATGAATGATCCAGGAAGGGAGACCACCTGTCAAAGGGGGGAAGAAAGAGGCAAAAGATTTTGGAAAGAGACTAAGAAAAATGTGCAAATATCAGTTAAAAAAATAAGGAATGCTTTAAATTCACTAACGTTTCCTGTTTACGGATTGCCATGGTTTAGCAAATGTCAATGACAAGGAGGGCCCTTGTGTTAAAGAGGGAAAATTCCTCGTTTCAGAAGATACTGGGAGTCACAGGTTGTTCTGTGCTGTGGATCCAGTGTCCACACCAGACTGCAGAATGTGATTCGCCCTTGGAACTAACGCTCTCCTGTGACTGAGGTGTTTGCTTCCAGCCTTTCAGCCAGTGGGCAACCCGACGCAGATCCCAGTGCAGCTTGGGCTGCACACGCTGAAGGTGCCCTTCAGGAGGAACTCCCTAGTGTGAATGTCAGGATCTGGGTTGAAAGCCATGTAAGGAGGAAGAGAGATGAGGCAGGAGGATCTGCACCTACCAAGACCCCCTTTGAACTGCAGATAACTGATGACATTTTGTGGGGAGTGGCTGCCCACCAAAGAGGACCCTGAGAAAGAAAATAACATGAGAACCTGGGAACTGGGGAGGTGGGGTGGGAGGGCAGGAGCACGCAGAGTGAGAGCAAAGTTGAGATGGTGTTTTCCTTGAGTGAATGTCTTTCACAACAACATACTGCGTGGTTGTCTAACATGCTGCTCTATGAACACTGCTGGCTGGGCCTTGAAGTCCTAGTTTCAAATCAGTTTTTTCCCTTTTACTGTGAGTAGAGGGAGAAACTGACCCTATGCTTTCCCCTACGACATAAGTCACTGTCATTATGGCTTTCATATCAAGTATCTGTTTCCCTTTGTTCCAATTATTTGACCAAATTTATGTTCAGAAGTTAGACTTGCAAACATCAAAGCACCACAAATGCATGTGACATCTAGTGACACTGGGTTGAGAAATGCCAATATAAATACCATATATCAAATTACCATTGTTTCACACCAGGATAAAAAGGGATGGTGATGGTGGTGGTAGTTTTGGGGCAGGGAAGAGTTGTTCTGGAAAGAAATGAGGAAAAGAGCAGAACCAATCTCAAGCAGCCAAGTGAAGTTGAAGGCATGTGACCCTATGATCTCTCAGGTAGGCGGCCAGGATGGCCGTCTGCTAATGCATCTTGGCAAGGGAAATGTGAACCAAGTGCAGGGCTGGCGTATGCAACAGTGCGTTGATGGTAATGGCAGATTGGGAACAACTGGTTTCTCTTGAGCTTGAGGCCGCACATTCCAATTCTCCAGAAGAAAAGTTCCCATGCACAATGGAAGTGTCATGAGCTTCCAAGACGGTTCAGTACTCTTCCTGCTGTTGGGGCTGCTGGTCATGGGCTTGCTCCTCTCCTTCCGGCTCTTCTGTGTGGCCTTCCTGAGGGGCAGAGAAGTTTCAGCTGAAATAACTTGCCATGTCTGAGGCTCCACAGAGTCTCAGGCCATAACCACTGCGCAGCATGGGGTCGCCAGGCTGTGGAGATACCAGGCGCAGGCACGGCTCACCGTGCAGATGGCTCCCAGCTCCTAGTGGCCGGCAACCTCGCAGGGATGCCTTCACATCCCCGTGCCATCAGAGAACAGTGGTTATGGAAAGCACAGCCACCAAGCTTTAAGTTCCAAACTCTTCCATCAGTCTTGGAGGGAAATCTTTCTAGAACATAGCGCATACTTTCCTACCCTCTGTAAAAGAGTAACCAACCACAGGGACTCCACAGCATCATGATAATCACAAATGAGCCAGCAGGGACATAACACGGCACCCAGGCCTCTGTGCTGGGTCACATGGTTGCCTCCACACTAATGGCCCAGGATGGAGCGCTCCTGATCCAATTCCTATTTCCTCCTCTGCCGTCACTCTTCTTGCTTGCCTGTGTGTCTGCCTGAAGCAGACCCTTTGTTATAATTTGTCACTAATCTGATGTGGACTTAGAAACCAGAGAAGCAACTTGTCCTAAGGGGAAGAAAGGACAGGGGCTATGTTTCCCAGGCTGCCTTAGGTGAGGACGCCCTTCTCAGCAGACAGTGCAGGAGCTTTGGCTCAGGACTTTGGGGCATTATGTTTAGGGTGCTTCCGGCCCTCCTCGCTTACTTTCTGGTCACTGAATGTGAACCAGGTAAGTGAGGTGGCTTCTCTACTTGGTTCTCAATATCCTATGTATTCATTTGCCCAATCCAAGAACATCATGAACAGCAACTTAGCCAAAGTTGCCAATTCTTCCAATTTTTTACCTCCAAAGAATAATTAGCTCTTTACTCTTCAAGCAAAAGAATGAGGTCAATCAGTAACAGCCAACTGCCTCCTCAATACAGGGCTTGGAGATGCAGCCTGGTATGTACCTGGGCACATGCAGAATGGCTCATGACGTCATGCACTTGGCATACGGACTCACAACACATCCAAACCCATCCCCCTCCTATCTAACTCCTAACTCCTTGAATCCAGGGACAAACCTGTGAAGATCCAACCCAAATACATTGTGATCATCTCCCAGGTCCCTGAGCCAGAGTAACACCTCTGCCTTCTCCTGCAGCAGCCTGTCTTCCTGTGCTATAAAACTCTGACTTGGAATCTTGTTTGTCTTGAACCTTTTGGCCCCATCCACCAGATCCAGAGGTTCCTAAAGTCAGGGACTGGGCTGCATTACTCTGTGGTACTATTCATCTACACCACTCAACACATGCTGTGTGGAGAGGAAGAAATCCGAGGACTGAGGAATAGATGGCCAAGACTATCAGACTACCAGCCAAGGTCACACACTGAGCCTTTTCCAAGAGGCAGTTTAATGTGAAGGTTAGGAGCACGGACTCCAGAGTTCACATCCCAGTTCCTCTATTTACCAGCTGTGAGACTTTCGGCATGCAACGTAACTGCTCTGTGCCTCAGCTTTCTTGTCTGTAAAGTGGGGGACAATAAAGAGTCCCTATGGAACAGAGTTTTCAGTGTGTTTCAATGATTAATGAACCAGCTGAGTGAATCCAACTGAGGATCTAATGAGTTTAAACCAGCAAAGTGCCTAGATATTTGGTACATAGAAAATATTTTACGTATGAGCTGGGCCTATGATTTCCTATGAACTCTTTGGAATATATTCTAGATACAATTTTTTTAAAAAAGCAACCCTTTCTATAGAAAGTGACACTACTGAAGGCCTAGGATCAAAGGTCGGCACTTTATTTGGCAGATGTGAGCTTTCCCCACATCCATGCCTCCATCCTGTTATCACCTCCCGGGACCGTTCTATTCCGGAAGGCTGACGCCCAATAACCTATTCATTGACCACATCCTGTCTTTCGGAGCCTCAAAACGCTTCATTCCTTATTGCCAGTGCTCACTGATGGTCCCTGGGCTGTGCTCTTGGCAGCATCCTTTGCCACTGGCTCTGGCCACTGCTTGGCGCACATGAAGGTGGCCCTCTCACAGGGAAGAGGAAGGTATTCTGTCTGAGGTAGCACAAGATAGGGGACAGGCACTGGCCTGTGCAGACTGGCCTCTCTTGTCCACGGGATGAAGCTAATGCTCACAGCACTTGAATGGGAAGGGTACATTGGAACTCCAGTGTCTCTTCTGCCATGGGCTCTTCTACGTTAGGAACACTGGGAGTCCCTGAAGCCCATCTTCTTGCCTTCATCCCTACGTGACTGTTCCTCTAAGCTTTGTATACCTTATTCTTGCTTCTAGTGGAGGGTGTACACGGCCCTGTGAGTGTTCCTACCAGGTGGATGCATGTCTTCCTCTCCCACTGGGCTCTAAGACCCTCTGGGTTGGGATGTTGCTCTTTATTCACTGTCTTAACTTTTCAGTCTAGTACAGTGTCTTCCTCATGGTACCAACCAAACTTCAGCTGCTGTGAGGTATGCAGGTAATTGTTTTTGTGTGTGTTAAACTGCTAAAGAGAAGGGCTTAGAAATGAGGATCTATTTTACATTTTAAAAATTTATTATTGTTATTTTTTATTTTACATTTTACAGAAAATTCTGTCACAGTTGGGAGTTAAGTGGAATAATGGTGTTAACCCAGAACTGGAAATTGGAAGAGTTGAATTCAACTGTTTTGCCTGTAACAAGCTGCAGGAACAGGACCCACTAAAGTAGGGCCCCTCCTCAGGCCTTCTTTCCAAACATGCTGCACAAGAAGGTAGGCATGTCACCCTTTTCTATGGCTCTGGGGTCCCCATCTGACCAACGGTAGCTCCTCTGCACATGAACTGGGCTTAAGTCATAGCCACAGGAAACTGATGGTGATGTCAGACATCTGGAGGAACAGCGGACTCCAGACCATGCATATGGTATCGGGCAGTTCTCGCAAGAGGAGCACATGTTCCGGTTATCAATGGATACTAATGCTCAGGGTGCATGCTAAGGCATCCAGAGACTGGAGGCACATTTCTGCCATTCTGCGATGTCGCAGCTCCCAACTCTTACGATGCTACTGTGGGTTTCCAAAACAAAAAAATATTTTCTTATGCCCCATATGAGAATGAAGAACTTTAAAACCTACCTGTAGGTTTTAAATAGGAGGCCAGGCAAAACCTCTGCCAAACGTGGGACTAATGCCCTGGGGTGGCATCTACTTAATTCTAGTATTTCCTTATCAACCTCTTACATCTCTATGAATGCTTAGCTGTGAGTGTTAGACCTCTTTGCTCGCACTATAACTACTAAAAAGAGAAGTGGGTTGAGAGACAGTACTGAAGAAAGGTCCTGGCCACGCACTGTGGGAGGTAAACAAGTGTCTAGGAGGGAGGAGGGGCCTCCAGAAGCGTGACGGCTCCTCGGTGCAGGAAGCAGCATCAGCCGCAGTATCACTCATGCAGACCGTAGCTGGCTGCTCTTTCCTCTGCTTTATGCAGTTTCTTCCTGCCTGAAAAACTCTCTCCCCATCCTAGCTCTATAACTATTGATATTTCTGGTCATCCTCAACATCCAATGCAGATGCCATCTTCTCTGTGACAGCTCTGTATGGCCCCCCAGGTGGCTTTATGCACTCCTACACAAGTTTATGTACGTCTCTGCTATCGCAATTATCATAATTTGACAGTCTCCAGTTAGTTGTGTCCCTGGCTCACTCTCTCCCTTGGACCGTGAGCTCTCCTGACGGAGGGGCTGTGCCTTTTTCTGTGTACCCAGTGCTTCATCCAGCAGAGTGCAAAACTCCTCCAGTGATAGAAACATGTGATCAAAAAGCTCTAAGGAGAAAGAACATCTTTTTTTTTCTTTTCCCCAGTACAGTATGAGGACTGAAGCCAGGGCCTTCACACTGAATTACAGTTTTTATTTTGAGGCAGTGTCTCCCTAAGTCACCCAAGTTGGGGTTGAATTTGTGACCCTCCATTCTCAGCCTCCCACAGTGCTGGGACTACAGAAATGCACCGCCATACCCAGCTAGAGAATTATTTTAACAGTGGCTTCTGTGACAATACCTCAGGAAACAAGCACCTATTTATAAGCTGGCACACCCCAGGTGACAGAATGCACAGGGAAGCAGGTAGCCAATGACAAAGCCCAGACACCTGTGGCCCCAAGAATGATAAGATAATGAGAAGGAGAGAGTCACTGAATAGCCAGCTGGTGATCTGCTCTGGAAACTTCCATTAGGTCTCTACATCTGGGACCCGAACCACCTGTTGACTTTGCTACTTGCAACTCCCAGTTGGACTTTTACATCTTCCAAGCATCACATTTTAGGATTGCTTGACTATAATAATCACATACGAGTCACCACCAAATAAAAATATAAGTCATCACTTAGGGGAAAAGATCCCTCCCACCAAAAACCCCTACCTAAAAAGCCAACCCTAGCCTAAATGGAGAGCACATACAACAATCCAGCCTTTGATTCTTCAGCATCTCGACAACCAGAAATTTCTGCTGTCCCAGATCACTACACAGTCAGACCAACAGCATCATGTACACAATAGTGACATTTCTTCCTGGGCATCACACACACCAGACCTACACACACGTGCAGGAATGGCTGGCTCAGGTGGGTAGCCAGGTGGTGCCTGGGTGTGTATGTGGTGCAGGAATGGGAGAACACCGAATATGGTCATCTAGGAGGAGCTCCCTGGAGTCACACCCGGGGGCAAGAGCGCTTGGCCAAGGCTGGCTGGCCTATCCTCAACCAGGAATTCAGCAGCTCAGGTCAGCTGCAAGATCTGCCATAGAAGCAGAAGCCTCTGCTGCTGGAAACACAGGCCTGGGCCGACGATGTGAGCCTGCCTGCCGGACTCCCTCCAGCTCTCAGCATCACAGACAGCAGCTCCGTGTGCTTAGTCTTCTGGTGTCGTGCAGACTTCATCTGATTTAGCCTCAAGCAAGCTTGTGACAGCAATAACCACAACTGATCTCATGCTTGATGGCCTACAAAGCAGCCTGCACATCGAACATTACATATACCCCACTTGTGCTCACAAACACACCACTGGCTTCTTCTACAAGAACTGAATATACCAAGATCTGTATTTCATGAAGCCATCTCGGCCTCAGGGACCTAAGCAGGCAGATTCCCAGTGCTTCAGTCTACATTCTGAGCTACCAGTAACCAAGAAAGAAGTTTCAAAAGCAACAGTGGGGAAATGACAAAAGTGGTGAGCTCCCAAACCCCCAACACAGTGCCCTACAGCTTAAGCAAATTTCACTGCTGGGATTTTAAGTCACAAATAGAATAAATGTTGCCTGTTATTCAGCTGCAGTAAGACAAAGTAAACCTGCGGTGGTTTCACATTCTGTGAAAATGACGGACTGGCATCTGTACTATAGAACTGTCCGAGGGTCCACAGGACTTCCGGTCAGAAACCCACACACTTCCCCAGCTTCGATTCAGTACACAGAGGTGCTTCAAACCCCAGGCCCTGGTCTCTGGCTTCTACAATTCAGCTCAATAGAAGGTGATGCTCCACCACCTCCCACTCCCTCGTCTGGGTGCCAGGCCTCTCCCTCCCGGCACAGGCAGACGGGGTCCCCCACCCCATCTCTGCCAATCGTTCCTCCATGCTCCGCACATCTGCTTCTTATCACCCCACAGAGCCACGTCCTGGGTCTCCCCAGCACATTCTCTCACGAGCAGCAACTCCGGCGACAGGTCCTCCCCACAAAGGAGGCATCGAGGAGTATTTTTAATAAAGGGCTGCTCCCTGCTTCTGGCCTTCCCGACAATGTTACCAAGACAACCAGCTATGAGATAAAAACAGAGTGCTGTGCGGCTGACAGTGAAGGGAACAGTGTTCCGATTATTCTCTTCTTTATCCATACCCTGATCTTTCATGAACAAAGAAGAATCCTTACACAAATTCTTACTGCTCCTTTGCTCAGAGGAGAGAACCGCTGGGATCTGGCCACACAAATGCGTTTCTCCTGAAGCCCCACCTTTATCCGTCTCTTCCTGACTGACTGACACACACATCTGTCCCACAGGCTCGCATCGATGGACCACGACAACAGTGATACACACTCCTCCGGGACCGCCAAGTGTCCTGGCTAAGCTCCACGTCTCACGAGGCCCCAGGGAAGCATTCAAGGGCTCCGTCGGGCCCACTGGACTCTGACCAGGAGTGCTCTGCATACTTACATGTTCTTCTGAAGCATACAGCACTTCCATTAATCGCTGCACCAGGTCATCATTTTCCTGCCCATGCTCTTGGCAGAGCAGCTCAATCTCTCTCAGCTTCCCGAAGTAGAAATCCCTTTCCTTTTCCACGCCTTCAAGGGCGAGTTTTAATGAATGTACCTGTAACAGGGTGAGGGTAGAGAAGAAAACCGCCAATATGTAAGCAAATGTAAGCAGGCAGTTATGACTGTGTATAAGCACACAAAACATGTAAAGAGACACGGCAAGTCTGACAGGGACTATGGGGCTGTCATCTGAGTTCAAGCTGGGGCCAAAATGTCCAATTTCAGAAGCATGCTGGTCATTCCTTTCAGTGAGTGTTTATCAGCTAGAATCCTTCCACTGGCACTGTGCTACCCAGGCTGAAAGGACCCCTCCTTCTGTTAGCATGGGCTGGACCGCACCTTTCTCCTAATTCGTTGCTGTGATCTGAATGTTTGTGTGCTCCCCTCCTCCTCATCTCCTATGCTGACACACAAAACCCAATGTGATAGCATTAGGAGGTGGGGCCTTTGGGAGGTGACGAGGTCCTAAGAGAGGAGCCTCATGAATGGGATTAGTGTCCTTAGAAAAGAGGCCTGAGTGATCATTCATCTTTTCAGCATAGGAAGCCACAGTGAGAAGGCAGCATTCATGAGCTCTCACTAGACGCTGGATCTGTCAATGCCTTGACCTTGCACTTCTAAAACTTCCAGATTTATTTCCAGAGAAATAAATTTGGTGTTTGTAAACCATCCAGCTTATGGTATTTTGTTATGGCAGCCTGAACAGACTAAAATATTCCGCAAAGAAAGGAGAGAGAATGGGAGGAAGGCGGAAAGATGATAGAAAGGGTCCTAAGTGCGGTTAGATTATTTTGAGGACCCTTCCTTTAGAACTTCTGCACTAAGAGCTAACCTCAGGGCTGGGGATATAGCTCAGCGGCACAGGCGCCTGCCTGGCAAGTGTAAGGTCCTGAGTTCGATTCCTGGTACCAAAAAAAAAAAAAAAGAGCTAACCTTAGTTTTAGTTCCCTTTGAAAATGATCCTGAACCAAAATGGACAAATGCTCTCCACCAAGAAATTAGGTCTCGGGCCACAAGAAAAACTGAATGAGAGTACAAGGCTCGCTGTGTGCATCTGTCTGAACTTCTCTATTTCTGGCTTTGGTTGCATCAGTCAAAAGATGGGATGGCATGGAAGATCTACTTCCTCACCAAAACCGCTCTCATTTCCTGTTTCCCGCTGGTTAAAGGATCCTGTAGTGCTGTGAAGCTTCTCATACTGTTTCCATGGTGCAGGCAATGGGGAGGCACTCACTAGCCAGGGCCCACAACTCCTGTGGCTGAAGAAACTCCGAGGAGGGTGTGGATCTCAGATGGCCACACTCCTGGGAGGACAGGAGCTACACACAGGCTCAAACATTCACCCTGTGCCTGGTCCCTGAGAATCCATTCCCTTTTCCTAATACCTTTTCATTTATATTTATGTATAATCTTTAAGGAATACGTTAATCATGAGGGTCCTCCATAGGTAAAATCTCTCTTCCAGGATATTAAAATCACCCTTAACAGAGTTTTCAAAAATTACATGTGGGCTGTGAAATTTCCTTCCTTAACAAGTCTGGGCCTTTGCACGTGCTACTGGTCCAGAAACACGGGTTCATTCAGAAATACACGGAGCACATGCAGAAACCATCTGCTTATTGTACACCTGACAAACTCAGATCCTTCCTGAAGGTCTTGGGGATGTGGCCTTACAGTGTTAACCTCCCGGATACACACTCATGTAGCTAAGGCACGGAGTTTCAGGTTGCCAACCCTTTTATCTCTTATTTCTGTTAATACTAGACCTTGGACATGTGCAAAATTTGACAGCAACAGCCTGAATTTCACAAAAAAGAAAACTAATTCTAGGAATCATTTCCCGCTTTAAACAAGCAAGGCACCTGTTTGTGCTCAGCCACAGAATCCATGTGAACCCTGTGCTGTTCGCACCAGACAGAGCTGTGGTATCAGATGTGCCATCATTTGCTAGGTCACTCCAACCAAGCAAGGACATGGTCAACTCAAGAAACCTAGGTCTGTCTGCCTCCTGAGCGCTCTGGTTGCACAGTGAGGCTTTTGTATAAATACTCAGCCCCGCCAAGCTTTGGTGGTATTCCAGACGTGCTAGGTAAGAGGTGCTCTGCTATAAACATTCACTAGTAAAAGCTGTCCGCAGCTAGATGATATGATGAAAGATCAACTGGCAAATTAAATTTCATTTTCATGGTCTTGACACAAAGACTGATGCCAGGCATATCCCTCACATGTCACGGCAGATGCCTGAGTGATGGAAAAGGTGCCGGGGACGCACCCTCGGGAACAGTTAAGGGTAAGGGCCACAGAGGGAAGTTCCCTTTTCATAGTTTTCCCAAATCCTCTCAGCGTGTCCACAGATTGCTGGTCCCTCCAGAGCCTGCGGTCCAAATGCCAGTCAGTCTCCACCTGGGCTGACCAACGCCTACCTCATATCTCTGCTAGCAGTTCTTGAGCCGAGCCCTGACTCCAACCTACCTCCTGTTGGCTAACACACGGTCCAGAAAGTGTCCCTAATTCTCTGTCTTTTCCACCCCTGCATCTTTTTGATTCATTTCTATCACTGGAATTGTCTAGCACGGTGTTACTTTTATAGTACATCATGGGAGACTGTCTGAATAAAGGCATGAGGCCAAGCAAATGAAAATTCTTAAAGTTTACGGCACTTGTCACTTTCTCTATTACTACTATAATTCACGCTTCTGCCTAAGCATTTTCACTTGGCTCCTCCTGGTCCTGGCATTCTTAGCTCCAACTCCGAGATGCCTGTGTGGCTAGCCGTTAGCCTCAGGGGACCTGTGTAAGCTTCAGGGATGGGAAATGGAGGGAGCAATGCACTGCCAGATCACCAAAGAAATGCATCTGCGTTAAGCGCTCAGTATTGAGTAAAGGCCTCCCGATTTTGGATGTGTCTGACCTTCCCCCTGAGGCAGTGGGATGGGGTCAGGCCCGCTTTTTCTCAGTGTGGAGGTGTCAGGGGGCAGGAAGGGCAAGAGCAGCCTCTTGAAGTAATAAAGCGATAACAAGAGCAAGGAAGGCCCATGGGCCGTTCCTCTCTTCTCCCTTGCTGTCCTCTCTAGAGTGGCATTTCAGAGGGCAGAAAAGTGTAGCTGAGGCATTTTGGAGTCTGGGGAGGAGAGGGGTGACTCTTACGATTTGGCTCTCTAGTGAGAGCCAGTCCCAGCGAGAGAAGCAGGCGGCTGCTCCAGGCTTAAGGGACGGGGTGTGGGTTGGGGGTGGGGGAAGAACCTTGGGGTTTCCATGTGGCCAGAGTTGGGGCTGGAGGGCTGGAAACTGGGTGTGGTGCAAAGAGAACTCAGGGGCAGAGGTAACCCTGAAAAGGATATGGCGATACTATCAAAAGAACCCATGTTCCTCGGAAGAGAGGAGGCATCCAAAGTACAACTGACCCACGCCTTGTTCTCTTTCGTTCAACCTCAACCTGCCGGGAGCCTTAGGCTTGTGGCCCAAGGCTCGTTATCACTGTCCTTACTGCCTTTTATCTGGGAGAAATTTATTACTTGAAGCTGTCTTTGGGTTCCAACTGACGATCAGTCGGTAATCAGGGCACTCTAGTTTCTAAATCAAAGTCTTACCTGCTAGGTAACTTAAGATGCTACCCTTTCTTATTAACATGATCAAGATAGTAAAGAAATACCCCTTCTAAGCAACTGCCTGCTTTTTAAACTATATTCTTGCCTACAAATATAAAATTATCTTAAAAACTGTTTCCAGACTCATAGTGGTTCATCAAAGATGAATCACTGGGCCTGGCCAGCCTAGTGGTTGGGAACAGTCTGAGGGCCTGAAGCCTGAGGACTCGCACCACGGCAGAGGGGCCAGGATGAACGACACTGGCACACCTGGAGGAAGTGAGCAGCTTCTGCAGGGCCCCTAGGCCCCTAGTGCTTTATTATACTATATATAATCTTAGGCAAAAAGAGCTATCGCTAGTTAGAAAGCGGACCTAAGGTTTTATATTGAATATTTCAAAGGCAGTGGAGCTAGATTTACTGTATTAGATAGAAAAGGACAGTTCTACTTAAAATACTGCTGTAGCTCCTCAGATCTTCCCAAGCCTGGGTTCAGCGCTCTCAGGGCGCCCACCTTCTGCCACTGTGAGAAGGGCTGGGTTTTTGTTAAATACCAATTTCCTGTGTATAACTGTGGTGTGAGGGAAGGGAAAGTATCCTCTGCTATACTGCTCCTGGGATTAAGTACAGTGTCTGTCACATAAAACAGGCTCGACAAATAGGTGCTGAAAGGAGGGGAAAAAAGGAGGGGGTAGGGAGGACAGGGAAGGAGGAGGAGGAGGAGACAGGCTGACCCTAAAGCAGCCTTTACCACTCTCTGGATTGGCTAAAAGTGGGGAGGTTAGACCACAGTCTAGCCCAGGGCTCAGCACTGCCACTGAGGAACAGAGGAGAAGGATGACATGCAGGCCTGTAGCACCACTGAATCATCTATTCCATCTTAATGTACAGTTGTAGGATTTGTGACTAACATCTTTCATTCATTACAGGTTACTGATTTTATTTTACTGGTTAGGCGGCTTCCAATTTTACAGTTTATTTCCAACTTTACAGTTCTCAATTTTTCCGTTTTCTGACACATTCGAGAGAGGCAAGGGGTCATAAAGGAAGGTATGTGACAGCAGTTTTATTCACGTTTGCTCAAAACCACTCATTCTGCCTTCCTTCCGTTCCTGAGCTCAGGCCTGTACGCATTTGGCCTCCCTCTCCCTTAGACATGTTACTGCTCCCAGAGACACAACAGAGACAGTGAATTACCTGCTCATTAAGCTGTATGACCTGTGTTTCTAAATCTTTATCAGACTTGGATGCCGAGCCACTGGACGAAGCCCTTTTGGCAGACGAGGGACGAGAAGGTGTGGAACCTGGTTTAGATGCTGGACTCGATTTAGCCGCACCTAAAAGCAACCAGAATACATTATGAATAATGGCAATATTAAAATGATTTTTAGATACATGGGCAATGTATCGTATAAAAGGAATTTACTAAAAAATACCAGGGATCCAGAGATCCAGTTACAGAAGGAGCACAAATATGTTTAAAAGAACTGCACAAGATTAAACTGCAGTGTTATATTGGGTCACCTATTAAACTTTATGAGAACATTTTTTTCTTCAAATAACAAGAGATTAACACAGTTGTGCCTTCTCCCTCCAGACAGAGAAGACTAACACCTAACAGAGCCTTCAAGTTTTTTTTAAGAAGAAAAGTTTTTTAGATGACTTCCAATTATTACTCTTATGAGTTGTTAACAAACAAGAGAAAAGGCCTTATAACAGATTGATACTTTACACTAAAACAAATGTCTGTTTTTCTCTTTTCATACATTTCCCAGCATCAGCCACTAAGAGTCCAGGAGCAAAGGTATCTCCATACCCGATGGCCCCAGTCTTGACTTCTAAACGTCATTCTGCGAAAAACAGGTTTCTTGAGAAATCGCTGATCCAGGGATGGAGCAGGGAATATACCAGGTGAGGCCAGGACACCTTGAGTCAAAAAAACCAAGGATGTGCTCAAGTGCTATTGTCCAAAGGACACAGGACACTGCCTGAAGGAGCTCCTGGCCAGCCACGCAGGGGCAGTCTGAACATCAGCAGGAATCAGGGCTGCGCTTTACTGCGACGCACGGCAGCCCACAGACCCATCAGCCCATCGTGGTGCGGGTGGCACAGGAGGAGAAGGAGACTGTAAAGATCTCTACAGAGCACTGGCAGCCAGTAAATACAGAAAAAACGTTAGAAAAATCACAACTCTGCATTATCCATAATTTACAGCTGATTCAAAACAGGCTCATCAAAACATCAGATAGATTTTTAGGGTTCGGATGTATCAAGGTGTCACCTTCTAACACTCTGTACTTAACTACAAAGGGGGAAAATGCATCTTCACAATGGGGACTTGGGGCGAAGGGTGAGCACGCTTAAACCAGAGATCCAAGGAGCATCTCCCATAAGGACATAAATCTAAAAGCAAAGAGCACCGCTTTCAGGTCAGCCCTCACCTATCTGGCACATGACTCACAGTGGACTCTCAGGCTGTGGCACAAACACAGGAATGACTCTACAGCCGAGGCAGAAATCACAAGGTCCATGCAGGGAAGCTTGTGTGCTTCGTGGGCTAAGACCTTCTGAGCCATTGCTGGGGACGCACCCCTCCCCACCTCTCTTTCCCTTTTATTTCGGATATAGTCCCAGAGAGGGGGCGGCTGTTTCCACTGATCCCTGTCGGGCTGTAGGTGACCCTCCTGTGTTTCCCTGGCCCGATTATTTTCCACGCCTCTCTCCACTCTGCCCTTCCAGAAGGCTCCTGGAGGGCAAGGAACACGTCTTATTCATTGTAACCCAAGTGCATTATACAGTGCTTCATTGAACAGACATTTGGTGAAGGAACAAATGTTTAAATAAATATATGAGCGAGCAAATAAAGCCTGCTTATATGGTTTCCAATTTTACGGTTTATTTCCAACTTTACAGTTCTCTATTTTTCTGTTTTCTGACACATCAGAAAGAGGCACCTGGTTATAAAGGCAGGTATGTGACCGCAGTTACAAGTTTCAACCCATACTCTAATTACGAAGTAGCCAACAGGAAGACTATTAAATTTGTATCTGTGTGTCCTCAGGTGCCTGGAGTCATTAGTTACAAAATCAAGACAAACACACCCTTGAGAAGCACTGACAGCATTATAGCTATTAAATACTTGTACATGCCACTCTACTGTACCAAGGGAGAAAACTCTTTAAAAGCTAGGGAAATGCTCAATATTCTTTAATATATGTGCTGTAGGGAGCACTCAATATATTTTAAAATGGAGATACTAAATTGGGAACAATTTAAAATAGTCTTGAGTATCCTAAGAGTGAATCTTCGGGGACCTGGAAACTTCATCTATGCAAAGGGCATCCTAGGGATTGCAGAGTGCTGGGATTTGCTTCTCTGTGACCGGTATACAGCTCCAAGGCCCTTCCCTCTGCAGAAGCTCACAGAGAGCACTAGTGCGACAGTATGTGTGTGTTCCCCTCTAGTGGTTTAAGAACTCCCAGGAGTGGAATCCTCAGCATTCTCAGAACAAGCTAGTGTCCTGTCTCCGTGACCATCCTGTGTGACGTGGGCTGTGTCTCCCTCCACATACCTCCTCTGAGCAACTAGCCCTGCCATCCTTCAGGTCTCAGCTTAGATGTCCCTTCTTCTGGGTGACCACAGCATTTGGGGCACTTTCTGAGAGGCTGTACCAACGGCAGTGGTAGCCACAATGTAGGAACTGCATCCGCTTTGTGTGCCATGTTACAGCCCCATGGCCAAGCAGAGTACCTGACACAACCACATCCATAAAAGTTTCCAGGATTCATTGGACACCTCCTAGCAGAGGGATCATTCCAACACAGACACCAGGAAAAGCCTGTAGAGCTAATGAGGATGTCAAAGTCACTGGCTATAAGAGCCGACAACACATGAAGGAGACCGACAAAAGGTCAACCTCCCAGAAAGAGACTTCTTCCTTGGTTTCCTTTTGAGACTGCCTGGTGTCATCATGCCAACCCCCGACCTGTGGGCTCAGGAGAACTGGCTCTATGGGCACATGCAGTGGGTCAGTGCCTGAGTAGGGAAGTGGCTTGCCCTGGGCTGTCCAAGTCTGCCACGTTCACTCACCTCTTCTAAGGAGAACAGCCCTGCATAGGGGCTTTCCTAGGGCAGCGCCCTAAAAGGCAGGGCAGCAATTATGCTGTGGCTGGTTACAGTAACCAAGCATGGCTCATCAGACACACTCATGTTCTTAGCCACTGCCTTACCCAGCCTGACCTCAATTCAAAAGGAACAGAAGCTAACTGCTTGTAAAACAGGGCCACCACTAATTATGTTTTCAAGGTATGGAATGTTGCTTGAAAAAAAAAGTACAAGTGTCTGATATAAAGGAGGAAGAGGAGGAAGAGAAGGAAGAAGAGGAGGAGGAGGAAGAGGAGGAGCAGGGGCTTTGGGAAGCCAAGCCCTGGGGCAGGGCCTGGGAGGCGGAGGAGAGATGAAGCAGCTCAGGAAGCTGGCTGGGACGCTCCAGGTGGCTCACAGCGGAGAGGACCAAGCTGCTGCAGTCACTGATGTGAGTGTGGCTCCTGCCTTGAGGAAACACACCCCTGCTGTCAGAGCAGGACTTAAATCTGCTTGTGTGGGTCTGACTCTCCACCTGTGCTTCCAGAGTCTCTGCCTTAAAAGTGGCATCTGTGTTTCTCCAATTCTGTAAAAGTCATTTGGGGCCTAGGGCCCAGGTCTCTCCCACTGGGCCACATGAAATGTCCTTTATGGATGGATACCCACAGAGATGGGAAAGGCAGGAAAATCTGACATGGTGTCCTCAGGTGCTCCTACACACACGCGCACGCGCACTCACACCCGAGGGGCGGACGGCCCGCTTTCCCCCCTTCACAGTCACTAACGGGCCACACGGTGCACACACCACAAAGGAGCGATGGAACAGAATGCAAATTTGAAAATTCAATAACAGATCAATGAAATAATCAGTTACTGATATTTAAAATTAGAGGGGTTTTGAAATTCCACTAAGTTCTTTGGAAAGAAACTGATAATAGGAAATAAATGATAAATGAGGGCTTCAGAGCCGGCACTAATTAACTGTACATCTGTACCCCTCTATGAATAAACAGGAAGAAATTAAAAAATAGGAACTATGGCGGGAAGGGTGCTAGTATTATCAGGTTATGAAGGGCTTTTAAATATACAATTCAGGATTAAACCCAAAGCCAGTTTTCTGGAGAACGTAGACTGAGCACTTTAAACACTAAGCTACAATTTGAAATGAAGTAATTTCTTCCTCACAGGATTCACATACACAAGAAATACTGAATGTGAACACACACACACCACACAGAAACCACTTGGCCTCCTTATACTCAAGGATTTCATGTTTTCCTTTTTTGAATTAATAATAGTGACAATATCCTAAGATATACATCCCATTGTCATATCCTTTAGACATTTTGGAATGAATTTTTTTATTTGCTTTAGAGGTTTTACTGCTTTTCCCCCACACTCTAAAGTGTACCTAGCTTCTGCGGCCACGTACCCTTTTCTCACTCCTTAAGTCACTATCATAAGGATGTTATCCGAAAGTCATACAGGCTTCAGACAAGAGGAAAGAAGAGGGAGGGACGGCAGTCAGAAGGGTAATGGGATGGGTATGAGCAAATTATACATACTGAGTCTCCCCAGATGTGAAGCTAGGAGGGAAGGCAGGGCTAGGGGGAGGACAGTGGGGTGAAAGTGACCCAAACTACGTTTGCGCCTGTACACATCTACCAGAAAGAAGCCCATTTACCATATGACCAATTAAAGAAAAAAAAAAAACCCTATGAAAGGAGGAAAACCGTACGGTTACCAATGTCAGTGAATTTAACATTGGCAAGATGCTTCTCCATCAGCTACTATCTGCATTGCAGCCCTGTGAAGTGACCTCACGGTGTCCTGCACAGTGTCCGACCCTGGTTCTAAGATAATGAGATCCTCACTAGCTGCCTTATTTCCCCACTCCACCAGGGATCCCACTCCTGTGCCTTCCCTGCCTCTTCCCCTCAATGGTACTTATGTGAGTAACATTTACATAATAGCTTTTGAAGAGAGTGCAGCTACTCTGGCTACCACACAGACAGAGATTTTTTTCTTGCAGCTATTAACCATTTCAACTTTTTTCCCAAGCTGTGCTTGATGATGTCCTGAAAATGTAATTAGCAGTAGCCATATTTTACAAGCAACTGTTTTGCCCCCAAGCTTTTCTCTTCCTCCTTAATTTTCCCTTTCAAAATAAAAAGGAGTTGCAGAAGCAGAGGAAAACAGACATAAATTCTGTACAAGTCCCTGTAATTCTCTGAATTTGCCCACTGGATATGGA